GTAATAAGAACTACCATTGATTAGTCATCAATTCTGTGCCAGGCCCTACACTGAACACTTTACATACATTATTTCAAATTGTGATCAAAACAACTCCAATGAACAGGCCTAAGGGTTAGTATCCTGATTTACAGATGAGGAAACTGGAGTGTGCCCAGCTGGGCAGAGAGAAAAGAGCTGGGACACAAACCCAGCTTGGCTGACTCCAAAGCCCAACAAGCCTTTAACTGCTGGTTCAGCAGACAGGACAGGGAGGCAGATGGTAGTGCAAGGCAGGGGTTTGCAATGGCAGGGCAGGAGGCCTCCAGGGGTCCCAGAGGTATGCAAGATAAAGCTGGACCTTCACTGCTCAGGGAGGCTCAGACGCACCTCCAGCCCCGGTGGCAGAGGGGGCCCTCGTGGATCCATTCTACTCCTGCATGGCTCAATTTTAAGATTCTCAGCTTCTGGGGGGTGGGAATGGGTTCCAGTGAAGTAATTGTCTACCTCCATGATTCTGTCTCCGATTGATTTTAGGGTTCAATGCCTCTGAATTCTAAGTCTTGGGATTCTATGACAGATGATAAGACCACAATTCGCTCATTCTAACATTCTTAGCTTCTGATTGTCTTATTCTAAGATTCTATCATTCTAATTCTAAGGTTCTATAGCTCAAGAATTCTAAAGGCCTAAGTCTCCGAGTCTCTGTAGGTTGGTGTTGTGAGCAGGAGGAGTCTGTGGCTGTGCCTGGATAGAACATTAGCCAGGAGCAGGGGCAGGGGTGGGAGGGATGGGTGGGCGAAGGAACCCAGCACCTTGGGGAGACAGACAGTTGCTCCCTGTCGCCCTCTGCCACCTTATCCCGAGCCTTGGAGAGTGCGTGGCAGTAGACGGGCAGGGCAAGCTCTCCAAGGCACTGGGCTGATGAAATCCCTCCCTCCTCCCACCCTGGGCACTGTCCCCCCATTCCTTTGCCCAACCCACCCCCCACCGCCCCCCAGGGGGCACGACTAACATGGCGTTCCTGGCCGAGGCTGAGCTGAGCAGGGGGCTGGGGACCGCTCCACACGCTGAGCAGGGGAGGAGCAGGCTGGCCCAGGGGCACCGCTCCGACCTCGGGGGCGGCACAGACACGGGAAAAGGGGGAAACACATGGGAAGCCGGGAGACAGGGGCAGAATGAGCCCCGAGAGGGGTGGGAGGGGGAGGGCAGATGAGAGAGAGAGAGCTGGGTTAGGGTGGGTGAGGGGCTGCAGCTGAGCACTCCGGGTGCCCACCTTGCCTGCACCCTTGATGCACCAAGGTTGGGGAGCCCCAGTCAGCATCATCAAGCCCTGAGTCTCCAAGCGTGCCCTCAGCCCGCCCTCCCTGAACCATTTTCCAGAAAGGCCAAGTCGCAGAGGCCTTCCCTTACCCGGCCCTCTGCTTCTTGGATTTGTCAGAGATGCCATCGCGTGCCATGAGCTTGTTGAAGACAATGATTCCGATGAGCATATTCACCTGGGGGCCAGTGCAGCGGAGTGGGGGAAGACAGGGTCACGAGGTGCCCTCCACGCAGGAGAGCAGGGAGGAGGCAGAGGGCTGGACAGGAGGAATCCCTGGGACCACATCCCTCCCAGAACACTGAAAGGGGCACATACCAGGACAATGACAGCTGCAGGTCCCACAAAAGCATACAGCAGGCCACCTTCCAGGGAAAGCCAGCAGCTGGGGTCGGGGGAGAAAAGAGGATGTCAGAAACCCAGGAGGCTCCTCCTCGCCCTCCAGCGCCACCCCTCGATTCCAGGGCTGCCATGCCCACATCACTAATGGAGACCCAGCCTCAATGGGGTGAGAGGGAGCCATTGGCCTGTGCGGAGCCTCAGTTTCCCCTGCAACAAAAATCAAGAACATCAGGTCCAGCTCCTGGAGCTACCACAGGAATGAAATAGGCTGACCTGAGTTCAGTGTTCTTTGAGATTACCCAATCCCGGTGCATCATTTTATAGCTAGGGAAACTGAGGCTAAGAGATAGAGGAACATTCCCAAAGATCCGCAGCAGGTATAGGCCAGGATCTCAGCCAATAAGTCCTAATGCCCAGGCCAATCCCTTAACAGACTCCCTCGTCCTACCCCCACCTGCCACAGGAGGCCCACGTACTAGCTGGATGTACCATATCCTTTGGTGCGGGTAAAGCCAACAGACACAGCCACCACGAGGGCAGGCAGACCTGGGGGAGTGGGGGAGCAGGAAAGCCAAGGTGAGATGGCTGCTGGTGCTCAGGGCCCCCTCACTCCTCTACCCATGAGTCTAGGTGACCCTGGTGCCCAGAGAGCTGGACATGGGACAGGGCCAGAGCAGAGCCCCCGGCTGCCCCTGCCCCACAAAGCCCAGCAGCAGAGTCCCGAACTGGTCCTGCTCACCCCAGCCCAGGCAGAGGAAGCGCTTGCGAACGAGGCGGGTGCGCATCCGCCCAATGACAGCCAGGTAGGACTGCCAGGCCTCAGTGAGTACCCAGCAAAAGGAGGACAGAAAGAAGAAGTGCAGGAAGGCAGCCGTCATGGTGCACACGCCCTGCAGGGACAGGGAACCGGAGGAAGTGGCCCTGAGCAGCCGCCAGGGCAGGAGGCCCTGCTTCCCAAGCTGGCTGCCGGGCGCCCTTGCGGACAGCCGCCTACCCAGGCCCCACC